GAAAATTTTACGTAAGAAAGTTAAATAATGACATTTAGGTTTATAAAAGGCATCAATTTGCCAAATCGACAAAATTTTCTCATGACATTATGAAGAAATTTCTCTCATGTTTATAAAGATAACTAGCTTCTTAAGAAATACACTGCCAAACGAAACATATAATCCTATAAAATGCGTTTGACCTCAGAGCCTACTTACCCCTATGTTTTTCCTATTCGAATTAATTTAATACCGGGTTCAATTTATATTGCGAATGTGACTGCGTATACTACCGGTGAATTACTGGTAAAAGCATTAAAAAATCACATTGAAAATGGTTCCTCTTATAAGTTAATATATTATAATCAAGAAATATCAGATTCAGAAACGCTTGAAAATATTGGTGTAAGGGTAGGTGCATAAGGTAAAGATTCACGAGATTATTCTTATTATTGAAAAGTAAGTAATTAATTAAATTTTTTAACTTTTAGGAGGGTGGTTTAATAAAAGTAAAGTATGATAATAACGAAGATCAAGCATTGGAAAAAATAGAAGAATCCATGTTAGATTTTTCAATTAAAAGTTCTATAGAGAATAATTTCATAATTTCTGTGAAAACACAGAAAGGACAAACTATAGATTTATACGTGAGCAACAGTGATACTGTTTATATAATTAAATTAAAAATTCAGGATAAAGAAGGTTTTCTTGCTGATAAACAGCGTATTATTTTTTCTGGCAGAGAATTGAAAGATGAACATACTTTAGAATATTATAATATTAAGAAAGAAGATACCTTGCATATTGTTGCTAAAATTCGGTGTGAAATGTTTTATGCGACCAGTGGTCGTAAAGATTTTGATACATTACCACCGCTTACGCAATATATGCAGGCACCCGAAAAACTTTTACCAGGTGGTATTAATACGGGTATTTCTTGTAATTTCTGTGGTGAATTTGAATGGGAAGGTGCAAGGTTAATATCAACATAATTAAACCTAATTAAACTTAATTACGGTATAATTTTTATCATATGATTATGTGATTTATTAATAATATCTTTTTCTATTAACAGATATAAATGTTCAGAATGTCCAGATTATGACTTATGCTGTGATTGTATTATGATATCTAGTTTGCTTCATGACACACAACATGAATTTCAATTTATAAATCCCTTGAATCACGACAATGCATCAACTGACATTTCAAAAGATTCCACTTCATCTATAACAATCTTTCCAATACTTCCAACAAAAAAAGAAGATTTGTTGGCTCTGTTACGTGAGGAAGAGAAGAGAAGGTTTTCATCCGAAATCCAACAACAATATTACAATGTTGGAAGTGATCCTGGCAATGACAGGGACTGGATTGATGTCACTGACCAGATTCAATATGATTTGGTTAGAGAATTTGGCTATTCAGATGAAGCCATACAATTATTGCGTCGTGCTTCTCAACTTTATAAAGGTGATATTCAACCCCGAAATTTCTTTACTTTATGTCAAATAAATTGACTTTGTTAGCGTTCAGATAAATTGTCCTTTGTACTTACATATATACCCACATATATACCTACATATATACTTACATATTATAAATATCCAGATGATCCTGCATTTAGCAACACTCAAGTATATGTTCGCAATAACATCTCTCACATTGGTAATCTCACCGAAGGAATGCAGGCTCCAGATTGCTCACTAGTTTCCCTAGAATCATCAGCAACTGCAGTTCCTTTAATTCCTTTGTGTACACTTATTCGACCAGGAAGACCTCTTATTCTTCTTGGCGGATCGTATACCTGTCCTTTATTCCGATCAACTTCTCACGTGCTTAACGACATATATAAAAAATATAGGTCATATGCAGATTTCTATATGATTCAAATTAGAGAAGCACATGCTAGTGATGTTTGGCCTATTGGAAATGTTGTGGCCGTCAAAGAACATGTCACGTTAGCTGATCGCTTGGCCGCTGCACGTGAAATGGTCAGATCAACACAGCTGGAAATTCCTGTATTAGCTGACACTATGGATGATACTTTTTTAAACTTGTACTCTCCGTGGCCATTCCGTTTTTATATCATCTTGGATGGTATTTTGAAATTAGTTGGGATGCCTAGAGAGGCACGTTACGATACAACTGACCTAGTCGAGTGTTTGGAAACTTTATTAGAGAATAAAAATAGTTAATAATAAACTAGTTTCAAATTTTAAAGGACTATAATATTGAAATTGACTACACAGATTTTTCAATATTTTTTTTTTTTTTTAAAAATAATATATATTTTTTTTTTTTTTTTGAATTGTTCATAATATGAAGTATAGATTTTTTTTAAAAAAATTCCCAGTTCACAAAAAATTTAAATTAATTTTATAATGACATTCAAATTATATATTTATTTTGTAAAAAAAAAAAAATACATTTTATTTATTAGGCTCTTTAAAACATACTCGGAATATAACCATTAAGACTAGAATTAAATGTTTGGAGTAATGTCAATTAATAAACTTTAATAAACACGTTATTGTATCAAAGTATAATACATTTTTGTCGTCTTAATACTAGAATTTTCGAGCACAGTAAAGATTCTTAAGTTTCTAAATTAGTTGCTTATTACATAGTGGAACTTGGAATTTAAAAACTCGACTATTTACAATGATTAATTCAATAATTAACTAAAACTAAAAAATATATATATACTGCATGTTACTTGTTTTAATTTATTTCTAGAATTTAACTAACACTTGTTTGAAATAAAGAGCTACGTATTTTTAGATGATTTCTAGTTATTCGATAGCTTACTAGGATCATACCATCAGATAACTTGTTTATCTGGCAGCGAATTTAATATTGTAATTTCTGGACCCCTTTGGGGCCCAAAAGCTGACATATTAAATTTCACAGCCAGATAATGAATTATTTTACGCTATTGAATGCGAAGCATCCAATAACTATTTATTTGATATACTTATTTAGTTTATCCACAAAATGTACTAATGACTTTTGAGATAATATAAAGGTCTAGCTAGATCTAGAAATTTTTCGTTCATAAGTTTTAGATGCGCCATATAAATTATTTGGTTACGTCATTTATATTTTCATGCGCGAATGACAATAGCTGTTATTTTCGTCAAGAATCTCATAAAATTTATCACAATATTTTATCTTTTTCGTGCAACTATAAAATGTATTACTTTTATTTACTATTTCATATAACAATATGCATAGCTCGTACATTATATTATAGGATGTTTAAGATTCATGAAGATGCAGCTTATGAAAAGCTGCAAGTATTTGTGCACTCATATTACGTAATTCTCCACTGTTCAGTAGGTCATACGATATGTTTTTTGTATAATCGTGATAGAACTCTTGTGAATTTGTTTAATTTCTACCATTGTTACAAATGATGCGAATCACCCTTTAATCTTAACAATATATATATTATCTATACATTAAAACACAAAATACGTATGTTGAATCTACCAATCAAATAATTATACATTGTTATGCAAATCTAATAGTTTTTTCTGTAACACCTGACCGTCTTCTGACCTTAATCCTCGCGCCATATGGCTAAATATATTTTAAATATGCTAGATACTGTTTATCTGCTTGAAGACTGTTTACGTATCTCCTTGCCGATTTTTGCGTATCGGCATAATACAGCAATCTACATGATTAGACAACAAATATACAGTATTTACTTTAGACTTTTAATAGAGATTATTTTAAACTTAGTGCCGTAATATGCAAAATATCTGATTCTTAATCATTATCGTCTTTATACAATATGTATTGTGGCGGCTGAAGCTGAGATCGGCTGAAGCTGTCTTTATTTAAATCTATAATACTGTATTTACTAAAATTCATTTATATTCTTTTATTAATAAAACCAATCTAACTTTATAAAAAATACTGACAAAAAAGGCCCTAAAAATTTTTAAAATTTAATATTAAAATATTTCAAGATCTCAGCTTCAACCGATCCCAACTTTAGCTGCCATTTTGAGTGCTGCAAAGATAAAACCTGCAATTTCGGTTTTTTTCCGGCTCCACTTTTCAGAAACAGTGATCAGATTCATAATAAATTCTATAATAAATTCTATTTGATGGATCATGTGTCTGAAGAGTCGCTTTTATAAAATTGATTTCATGCAGGTTTTAGATTTGCAGCACACATTTAATATATAAAATAATTTACGTACTGTGCGTATATATTTTCTTTATTCAATTTGTGAATAATATAGATCACTATATTATGGAAATTTGGGATGTTTACAGATTTCGAACGTCTTATTCACATAAAGCTAGCAACCCGCCAAAATTAGTTACTATATGTTTTTGAACATAACTACATCCAAAAATAAGTTACCTTTCTTTTGTGCAAAAAAGAATCATCCAGGGCGACCATCAAAAACGCTGTAACGTGATCATGCATAAATACGCAGATCGTGGTGCAGCCACAGTATATCAGATCTGACACAGATCCGACGAATTCTTCCAAGATCTCATCAAACGTTCTACAACAAACTCAAATTTTCATCATCGCTCAGTATAAAAAGTGCCATGAAATCCTTATGAAATCATAGTAATTTTCTACAACAGACTTTTTTCTTTCAGAATCTTCATTATAGAAAGAGTTGACCATATTATTACAAGTTATTACTTATTTAAACTACATTTTAATAATCTGT